GAAATTGCTTACATCACATTCAGTATCTCAAATGCAAAAGCTAATTATGATAGGCGTTGCAGAGGGGTTATCTTATTTTGGTACAAAGGTGATAGATTTCCACTCTGAAATTCTCTTCATTTTTTTGGTTTTCAGAGGGAAGGTTTGGATCGTTAGTGTTATGTCCAGCTGGTGGCCAAGCATTCGCAACCGCATATATGATGGCATGCGAAATGCGTCGTAGACGGAAAAGGGATGTTACTTCAAGTAAGTTGCACCGAAACACTGTTCTTTCATTACGAATGTCCATTTTCATTTTGGCAGTCACGTTTGTGCTCACTGCAATATGCGATAATAATTTCAGTTCACATCGATCTGATTTTGAGTATTCTGAAATTTCGGCAATAGAAAAGTCTAATAAATGAAATAAAGTATGACGAGTCAAAAATGAAAGTATGATGATTTGCTACTAAACGTGCAAAAAAATCCAAAAGTCGGTGGTCTCGAAATATGTTTCACAACTAGTGCGCGTATGATGACCACATTGTCTACTTTTCCGATAGTTCAGACATCAGAATACCATGAAATGTGCTCATATTTTCACGTGGCATCATTTAATTGATCAGATCTCTATCAAAATGTCATAGAATATCACAAAACTTCAGTGTACAGACTGTGTGAACATTAGCTGTCGTTCTCGTTCGTTCGGATGCGCATGAATTTGAAGTGAACGATTTCCTCTCGATAACTTTTCTGTAGGCTCACATCATGTTTCGTCAGAGCATTGAAAAAATATTGTTTTTAAACAATACTGTTGTGATCGGGCTATAGTGAAATTCGGAGCTCCATAATCGGCGCTGCTATAGAAATGAAAATCAATTGCTCACAAATAGCTTCAGTCAGTGATACCTAATTTGAAAAAAAAAAAGACTCAGCTCCGTCTCCAGCTCCGCATTTTTGAAATCTCAGCTCCAGATCCACATTTTTCAAGATTTCGGATGTGCTATCACCTCAGGCTTCATATTTCCAAAATTCCGGCCTCGGCTTCGGCTTTAGCTCCGCGTTTTTCAATTTTTGGCTTCAGCTTCAGTCCCGGCCCTGTATTTTTTAAAACTTCGGCTCCAACTGCAGCTCCGAAATTTGCTGCATTTCGCCTCGCCTCCAGAGTAGTTCGGATCTGGAACTAACTACCACCCTCTGGCTACTGAACATTGCTATGATATTTTTTTCAGAGAGCCAAAAAAATTGTTTGGCTCCGTATCTCAGGCAACACTGGTTACAATTACTGAATTATATTCATACACTAAATTCTGGTTTATCAAAGCACGGAACAATGATATTTCATGAGTGAAAAATTTCCATTAATTTCCATCATGTGTTTCCCAACATTTCATTTCTTTAAATTTCAAAAATTACGCACTTTATTGATGAACGCTCAGTGTACTGACTATTTATTTAAATAAGATTCATTTCGAATCACGTAGTATTGCATCGCTGTCGAGCAATTGCTGAGAAATGATCTCACAATCAGTGAATATTCTACATTATTGATAGATAACTAGTTCGTGAATAAGAAAGAGTTTTTTGTTTGGCACTATACACCATTTCCTGAGAGCAGTGGCCTTCGTGTTCCATCAGATAATCATCACAAACTTTTTTGGAATATATTGCATCTCAAAACATCGAGTCTAGTATTGTTACATCGCTGCTCTGGTGCTGATCAACTGCTAGCAATTATTTAATTTTCATTCTTTCACTATATTATGAATTAATAACGAAGAAAATAGGTGAATGGTTTCCAAAAAAGATGCACATTTTGCCCGGAGATCAGATCAGGTTTTATTACAAATTCACAAATCATCATAAACCTGCCGAGCAACATAAAATGATAAATGTTATGGGTGGATGTGATCTCGCTGGATGTGAACATTCAGTTGCATTGTTCGCACTATTTTCGACTTCGTGAATGCACATGGATTATGCAAATTACTAATTTTGAAGCAAATCGTATAGCATGAAAACTTAAAACAAACACTGATTAAATCCAAACATTTACTCTCTGCACGAAATCAGAA